ACCGACGAATTGGGATATCGCTTCGATAGACCAATCTACTTCGAGTGTAAACTAAACGAGCCAATGCACATTGGCATGCAATTATTGCATCCAGCTGCCGCTGATCACAGCGTGAGTATAATAAGGCAGCAGGTGCAATGCATACCAGGTTTTCGCTTCGGAGCCGAGCGACAACATCGTTCTGCTCTATATTCATTTAGAGAACTACGAGTTCAGCACACTCTCGGAAGCTTTCTGTGTTGGCGAGACGGTGCGTCAGCGGTGGTCGTTCCAGTGTCGAGTGGGTTGCGCACTTCAGGCTGCACTACCCCCTGTCGTGTTGCAAGCGGCTATCTCCCCTGTGCACCTCAGCACAAAAAGAGCATTTTCTAAAGAGCAAATTTCTCTAAAAGAGCTCCACAGGTGCGTCTTTATAAAGACGACGGATCGTCCTTATAAGGATGCCGTTTCACCCATCCGTTTCTGGGTGCGGTCGTTACCTGGCACCGGGTGAAGGTCACGATCGCTGCCTCACGTGTCTGGGCATCGAGCACACTGAGGTGGCCTTCGTGGCCAGGGGAAGCTGATTCCGCCTTACACGCCATGGCGTTACTGCAGGTGCACCAGGCTAAGGCACTGAAGGACCTGCACGAGGGTGGTCACGATCCGGAAGTTCTGAAAGAGCTCCGAACCGCCACTGACCTCATGCTCCGAGCGACGAAGGTCACCGCGAGTTCTCTGGGTCGTGTGACATCCACGCTTGTGGTCCAGGAGCACCATCTCTGGCTGCGTCTGGCGGACATGAGGGACACCGACAAGGTTCGGTTCCTCAATCCCCCTGTGTCCCAGACCGGCCTCTTCGGCGACGCAGTCGAGAGCTTTGCCCAGCCGTTCTCGGCTGCCCAAAAGCAGACTGAGGCGATCCGACACATACTGCCCAGGCGGGCAGCTGCTGCCTCCACCCATCCGCTGGCTGCAGCGCCCCAGCCTGCTCATCGCCGAGGGTGGGCCCCGCGTCCGCCGAAGGATGCGAAGGATGCGATAGAGCCGGTCCCTCTGGCCGATATGAGGTCGGGGTTTTACAGTCCTTACTTCATTGTATCCAAGAAAGGCGGTGGGTTACGGCCAATCTTGGATCTGCCAGTTTTGAACCGGGCCCTTCATCAGCTACCGTTCAAGATGTTGACGCAGAAACGCATCTTTGGGTGCGTCCGTCCCCGAGATTGGTTTGCAGCGATCGGCCTGAAGGATGCGTACTTTCATGTGTCGATCCTTCCGCGCCACAGACCATTTCTGCGTTTTGGTTCGAAGGACGGGCATATCAGTACAAGGTCCTGCCCTTCGGGCTGTCCCTGTCTCCCCGTGTCTTCACGAAAGTCGTGGAGGCGGCTCTTGTTCCCCTCAGAGAGCAGGGTGTTCACGTCCTCAACTATCTAGATGATTGGCTTATACTAGCACAGTCTCAGGAGTTGAGTCAAAGTTGGATTCGGTCGAACAGACAGCGCGCCTCACAGAGGAACGTGCGCAGTCAGTGCTAGCCTGCTTGAATATGTTCAAGGGCAGGACAGCGGTCCCACTGATACTTTTTCAGAGGCTCCTGGGGCATATGGCGGCTGCAGCGGCACTTACACCACTCGGCCTGTTACATATGAGACCGCTCCAGCAGCTCCAGCTTTATGGCCGAGTCCCGAGGTGGGCGTGGAAGCGCGGCACTCACCGGGTCCAAGTTACACCGGTCAGATCTTGCGTTCCTCCGGGCAGGGGTGTCCCTAGAGCAGATCTCCAGGCATGCTGTGGTCTACACAGATGCCTCCACCACCGGGTGGGGCGCCACGTACAACGGCATGCAGTCTCAAGGGTTTGGATGGGCCCGCAGCTGCATTGGCATATCAGTTGACTAGAGTTGTTGGCAGTGTGCCTTGCCTTGAACCGTCTCAAAGGGCGCTTACGAGGCAAGCACGTACTGGTCCGAACGGACAACACAGCGACCGTTGCAGGTGGTCTGCGCTCCCGTCCCACCTCGCCCGCCACCTCTTCCTTTGGAGTCGAAAGGTTCTGAGGTCACTTCGTGCTGTTCACATGCGGGGCCTGCTCAACTGTACAGCCGACGAGCTGTCTCAAGCAATGCTCCCGGGAGAATGGCGACTCCATCCCCAGACGGTCCAGCTGATTTGGAGTTGTTTCGGAGCCGCTCAGGTAGACCTGTTTGCTTCTCCATAAACCTCTCACTGCCAGTTGTTCTACTCCCTGACCAAGGGAACACTCGGCACAGACGCACTGGCACAAAGCTGGCCGCAGGGCCTACGCAAGTGTGAGTTTGCCCCAGTGAGCCTTTTCACACAGACACTGTGCAAAATCCGGGAGGACAAGGAGCAAGTCTTGCTAGTGGCGCCGTATTGGCCCACTCGGACCTGGTTCCCCGAGCTAGTGCTCCTCGCGACAGCCCCTCCTTGGTCGATTCCTCTGAGGAAGGATCTACTGACTCAGAGACGGGGCACCGTTTGGCACCCGCATCCAGACCTTTGAAAACTCCATGTCTGGTCCCTGGTGGTTCTAGGTGACCTACCCCAGGAGGTAGTGAACACCATCACTTCGGCAAGAGCACCGTCTACAAGACACGCTTACACCTTGAAGTGGAACCTGTTCGTTCTCGCCGAGAAGACCCCCGGAGATGCCCGATTGCAGTCGTGCTTTCCTTTCTGCAGCAAGGGCTGGAGCGAAGGCTGTCTCCCTCCACCCTCAAAGTCCAGGTTGCTGCTATAGCTGGTGAATGGGACGTCCGTAGGTAAGCATGACCTTGTCATCAGGTTCCTTAGAGGGGCCAGGAGGTTGAATCCTTCCCGGCCCCCCTCTATACCCTCTTGGGACCTGTCTCTAGTGCTAAAATCACTACAGCAGGGCCCATTCAAGCCTTTGCATTCAGTTGAGCTAAAGTTTCTTTTATTGAAAACTCTGCTCCTGCTTGCACTGGCCTCCATCAAGAGAGTAGGGGACCTGCATGCATTTTCGGTCGACGATTCGTGCCTAGAGTTTGGGCCGGCTGACTCCCAGGTAATCTTGAGGCCCCGGCCCGGCTACGTGCCCAAGATTCCCACTACACCCTTCAAAGACCAAGTGGTGAACCTGCAAGCGCTGCCCCCGGATGAGGCAGACCCAGCCCTGGCTTTGTTCTGTCCCATCCGAGCATTAAGGTGCTGCGTAGACCGGACACAAAGCTTCAGGACCTCAGACCAGCTCTTTGTCTGTTACGGAGGCCGGCAGAAGGGGAATGCCGTCTCTAAGCAGAGGATGGCCCACTGGATTTTGGATGCCATCACCCTGGCTTATCAGGCATAGGGTGTGCCCTGCCCATTCAGGCGGTGAGCTCACTCAACTAGAAGTGTTGCATCCTCCTGGACGCTGGCTCGTGGCGCCTCGCTAACAGATATTTGTAGGGCTGCGGGCTGGGTGACCCCCAACACGTTCGCTAGATTCTATAGCCTCCGTGTGGAGCCGGTATCCTCCTGTGTTCTCACCTCAAACGGGTAGTGGCGCCGAGAGGCCTCAGTTAGTGTCAGCTTGCTAAAACTACTCCAGAGTGTCCTACAGTAGACCCTGTTGAGATCCTCCGTCACCCTCGGCTGCGGACGCAGCGGAACGTCCGGCGCCGGGCCTTCACAATGAATCCGCGGGAACCGTGGAAGGCTGGTTTCCATATTGAGACCTAAGCGGTTCTCGTATGTGTATAGTCCACGGTATAGCCATAGAGCCTGTGTTTCCCCAGCAGACTTCTGATTTTCCAAGAGGGTTACAATCACCTCCAGTTCTCCATATACACCTAAGCGGATGCTATATGTGTATTTGCTTCCAAAAACTCCTTCGGGAAGGATGGGGCTTCCGCAGCGTCCCTGTTCCAAGTGGAGCGGGTACGTTTTCCCAGTGTTATCCAATCTCACTCAGTAAGGTAGTGCTTTGAAAAATGGTGAGTGGAACTACGTGTCCCGAGCCCCGGCCTACACCAGATAGGGGCGCAGGCGGCTCGCACTGGAAGGGGCAGCACCATGGCGCTTTGGTAGGGATCCCAATTCGTCGGTCACCGATGTGACTCGGAGTGACCGACTGAAAGGGAACATCTTGGTTACGTGTGGTAACCCTCGTTCCCTGAAGGAGGGAACAGAGACGTCACGTCCCGTCGCAACGGTTGCTGTACCACCACTGAGCGGCTGGGTCGCCGGCTCAGCTCCTCAGCGAAAACCTGGTATGCATTGCACCTGCTGCCTTATTACACTCATGCTGTGATCAGCGGCAGCTGGATGCAATAATTGCATGCCAATGTGCATTGGCTCGTTTAGTTTACACTCGAAATAGATTGGTCTATCGCAGCGATATCCCAATTCGTCGGTCACCGACGTGACGTTTCCGGGAACGAGGGTTACTATACGTAACCGAGACGTTATATATTTATACCCTTTATTAAACAAGCAATTTTAAAAATCACTACAGTCTTTTCTTCAGGCCACTTTTTAATTTAGCCAGAATGCATACTGTGTTTTTGAATGTCTGTCAATGGAGAAAGAGGTGTTTTTCTTACAGAAAGGTGTAGTTATATAGCCTCTACCAGCAGGGTCTAAGTGCTAAAGCTAACCAGCAAAACTCTGACCTCTTGAATTCTGCACACAAACAAATGTGTAGTCTAGTCTAGTCTAGTCATGTCTCAGCCTTTGGGTTTCTGCTTGAATAACAGGTCGTATTTGAAGCAGTGGTTGGAGATGATCAGAAGCATGATATTGCTATTGATGACCTAACAATCCTAAATGACCCTTGCCCACCTCATGGTGAGTCCTCAACTTTCATAATCACAACTCAATAATCACAACAATAATCACAATTATTTCATTGCTTCTGATCTTGAAGCAGTAAAGTAATTCATTAACATCTATTCACCTCACAAAGCACTTGGCAACAATGTGACTGCTATGCCATCTACGTAAATGAAGCAGTGCACATAATTTTCTTCAGGGTTTTGTGATTTTGAGATGGACATGTGTGGATGGTTGAATACTCGTGTCAGTGTCTCCAGTGTTGACTGGAGCTGGACCTCTGGAACCAGTGATACTTTATTTGCTCCTGAGGTTGACCACACCACCAACACTGCCATGGGTAAATATCAACACTTACTTAATGCTCTATGTATCAGGATAATGCTCCTTTTATGTAATTATTTAATCTAATTATTTGAATCACACTCAAAGGCACATGTGCAGCACAGGAAAGTAAAAGGTGCCAAAGGGTTGTAATGTTTGGAGTGCCACAATCGTAAACCAGCTGCTCTTATTCAGGTCTAACAGCCCTTTAAGTGGCTGCTACTATGTTCTGACTTCCACTGGTTCTCTTCTATCCAGGGCACTACATGGCCTTTGACTCAAGTGCCATAACAGATCAGATTGCTTATCTTCAGAGTGAGGTGCTGGAGCCTGAATCTCAAGGTTGTTTGGAGTTCTGGTACCACATGTATATGTGGGGCAGCGGTGAGCATCTTTATAGAGAGCTTTAAGTGGCTTTTAAACTTTGAAATATTAGGTAATTTAAGCTCCTGATGGAATGACAACAGTGTTCTGCAAAAAAAAAAAAAAAAGTTCCAAAAAAGAAAAACACTTATTTTGCATTCTTTGGCTACAAAAGTTAGCAATTTACTTCCAGTCGTTGTTGCTGTTCCCAATAATTGGAAGATAGAATTGAGGGTTTTTAGAATAATCTAAAACAGCGATTCTCAACTAAGCATCCAGGGGCCCTCTAAGGGGCCCCAGCAAACTCCAAAAAAAGCAAGATGACGTAAAAGTATTTCAATTAATGTTAATATATTTACATAATTCAACCCTAATCCCAAGTAAAATGTTAAATAAATAAATCAAACATACAATCAAGATGCAAACTGAAATCATATATATTTTTATTTCCTCTCAATAACTATAGTTTCTATTAAAGCACATATAGTTCTTGAAACCTCTGGAGTCAGAAAATAAACTCTGGTTAATTTATAAAAGTTGTTTCTATTCATAAATAAAAGTTTAAAAACAAGCATGTCATAATTACAACAGAAAAAAAACAGAAACAGATAAAAGAAGTCGCTGATCAAAATTATTTATTAAACACTCATTGTTTATTCATTGGGGTAGTCTATTCCTACGACTAATCGAGGCAGTATAAACACCATCATTTTTCTTCCATGTATGTATATGTATATTTTGTTTTTATTGTTGTAGACAAGCTTAAACTAGCAGTTTATGTAAATGAGTCCAGTTCTCTACGCTGTCTGTGGAATCGAACTGGCAATCAGCAGAATGTGTGGCACCATCTCACTGTTGACTACAAATCATCTGAACGACACCAGGTGAGAGACTGATACACAAAAACATGTCACAACTTGACCGTATACAGAGACTTGACTTAAACTTCACTGTTTGCAGATTGTGTTTGAAGCTGTGCGTCGACACTTAGATTATGGAGTCATAGCTTTGGATGACATCTATATCAGGAGGAACACACGTTGCTCTGATCTTACTCCAACAACACCTGCGCCCACAACTGAGCCCACCTTTCCACCTGCGTCCTCGATGGACTGCAACTTTCAGGAGGGTAAGAGACGAATCAGCAAAACATGGATGTGTACTATATATACAGGTGTAAATGTGTGTTTATCATGAGCCATTTGCTAAGTATTCCAGATGTTTGCTTGTAGGACTATGTGACTGGGTCCAGGAGACAGACGATGGATTTGACTGGACCCATCAGATGGGTGGACAGGTGAAGGAACCATTGTTAGGACCTTTATATGACCACACCATAAAAAACAACAATGGTAAGATTCATTTTTTTCACCCTTTAGTGGACAGAGCAGATCAGTCTGTAATTTTTTGTCATACATCTTCATCTTGGAGTCATAGCTTTGGATGACATCTATATCAGGAGGAACACACGTTGCTCTGATCTTACTCCAACAACACCTGCGCCCACAACTGAGCCCACCTTTCCACCTGCGTCCTCGATGGACTGCAACTTTCAGGAGGGTAAGAGACGAATCAGCAAAACATGGATGTGTACTATATATACAGGTGTAAATGTGTGTTTATCATGAGCCATTTGCTAAGTATTCCAGATGTTTGCTTGTAGGACTATGTGACTGGGTCCAGGAGACAGACGATGGATTTGACTGGACCCATCAGATGGGTGGACAGGTGAAGGAACCATTGTTAGGACCTTTATATGACCACACCATAAAAAACAACAATGGTAAGATTCATTTTTTTCACCCTTTAGTGGACAGAGCAGATCAGTCTGTAATTTTTTGTCAAACATCTTCATCTTTTCTCTTGCAGGGTTTTATCTTATTGTAAATATGTCTGGAGAACATGAAACCAGTGAGGCAGCTGTCATTTCAACGCCAATGATCATTCAAAGCACTGATGTCTGTATTGGATTCTGGTACTACATGTTAGGAGCATCTCTTGGAAACATAGATCTGCTTGTCGAGACGGTACATTCAACACATTCTTAAACTTGTTTGGATGATAGATAGCTTTTTTTTTTTAAGTTAAAGCTGCAGTCCGTAACTTTTTTTTTGGTTAAAAATGATCCGAAATCAATATTTGAGCAAGTACATAACCAGCCAGTGTTCGAAACTATCGCCTTACTTTAGCCCGATTCACAACAGTTAGCTTATAATAATGTTTTCTAATTCGAGTGGTACGAGTAGGTTTTCGCAGGAAATTCGAGCATGGCACTGCATTATTATGTCACGTCTGTAAACATAAAGAAGTTGTCCCGGCTAGTAGGCTATCGCATGTGAGGATCCTGCAGGTTGCCGATCGTTTATAGCCTTTTCTCACATGAGCTGGAATAATTAAATGTATCATTTTGATTGCGGATTGTAATCCATAAAGGATTATGTGTTTATGAAACAAATGTGAATGAAATGAAATTATATTCCAGGTATAAATATGCTTCTGATTACAGATAGCCTGGGATTACAAAGATTTGTATTTTAAAGAAAACCAGTTCGAAGGGAACATAATTTGCTTTTTGGGTTAAAATAATTTCTTAATATGAAATTCGAAGAGTATGACAATTAGATTAGATTGTGCAGAAATTGAAATCTACATGCTAATACACACTATACTCATATTCACCAATGCTGATGTTCTTAACATTAATCATTTGAGAATAAAGTATAACAATAATAATAATTTGAATGGTTTGATATGAGCTAACCGATCTTTAGATTTAATCACCATTGGTAGCGAGATTTATTGTAATGCTTTTTTCCTCGGTTGGTCAGTACAAACGTGGCAGACTTGTTACTTACTTGTTCAGATGGCAATATACGGTGAAAATTCTTATTTGGGTCATATTCCAAGACGTAGGCTGAATCTGTGATTGTGAAGTACAGTAAATATCCACACCGGTGCGGTGACTGACTGCAACACATACTCTTCAGAACATAGATTCATCCCGCTGGAGCCGTGCTGACTCACAACCCATGCAAGCTAGATAATTCCGCACACAGCTGTGAGATGGCGACAAAGAGGCAAAATTTATGGACTTGGATTAATATTGCATGAAAATTATATCCTATGTAGAAATAAGAAATATTGAGTATTTTCAATATACTGTAGCTAGGGAAAATGCATAGCAGTATACTTGAAAATTCCTTTTTCAATAGGTAGTTTTATCTTTTCTTTTAAACACAATATTTATCTATTTTCTTAGCAAAATTGCATAATATATTAATATTATGTATAATTACTTAAAACAGTAAAAATAACTATTAGCCAATGGGGTATATTTTTAAAGAAGACTCTTATGCTCACTAAGGCTGCATTTATTTGATAAAAAAATACAGTAAAACACAGTGATATTGTAATATTGTGAAATATTATTACTATTTATTTTAATATATTATTATATGTTACTTTATATGTGATATTAATATATTTTAAAATGTAAATTATTCCTGTGATGGCAAAGCTGAATTTGCGGCAGCCATTACTCCAGTTTTCAGTATCACATAATCCTTCATTTTAATATGATTATTTGGTGCTCAGGAAACATTGCGTATTATCATCAATGTTGAAAACAGTTGTGCTGTTTATTTTAGTTTAAACCATAATTTTAAAAAATCAGGATTTTTTTCCCTGTCACTTTTGATTTTGGATCAATTTAAAGGGATAGTTCACCCAAAAATGAAAATTTGATGTTTATCTGCTTACCCCCAGGGCATCCAAGATGTAGGTGACTTTGTTTCTTCAGTAGAACACAAATGAAGATTTTTAACTCAAACCATTGCAGTTTGTCAGTCATATAATGGAAGTGAATGGGAATCACACCTTTGAGAGTCAAAAAAACATACACAAACAAAACCAAATTAAACCGTGCGGCCTGTGATGATACACTGATGTGTAAAGACACGAAATGATCGGTCTGTGCAAGAAACTGAACAGTATTTATATTGTTTTTTACCTCTGATTCACCGCAATGTCCGAACTGTCCTGAGCACGTTCTCAACAGCCGACGCGTGATGCGTCTTCCTCTTCTTGCTTTATGGCAGATTGCAGACTTATAAGTGCATTACCACCACCTATCTCTCAAATGGACCATTGACACTCCTAATTGAGATTGTAGATAGAGTGTCAATGGACCTCCAATGGCTGTTGAGAACGCAGGACAGTTTGGACATTGTAGTTGTACATTCGCATAGAGTTGATCAGGTTGTTGATTGTGGCCTGTGGAATGTTGGTCCACTCCTCTTCAATGGCTGTGCGAAGTTGCTGGATATTGGCAGGAACTGGAAAATGTTGTTGTATACACCGATCCAGAGCATTCCAAACATGCTCAATGGCTGACATGTCCGGTGAGTATGCTGGCCATGCAAGAACTGAGATGTGTTGCACTGCGTGAGGCAAATGGTGGTCACACCAGATACTGACTGGTTTTCGGACCCCCCAATACAGTAAAACTGCACATTTTAGAGTGGCCTTTTATTGTGGCCAGCCTAAGGCACACCTGTGCAATAATCATGCTGTCTAATCAGCATCTTGATATGCCACACCTGTGAGGTGGATGGATTATCTCGGCAAAGGAGAAGTGCTCACTAACACAGATTTAGACAGATTTGTGAACAATATTTGAGAGAAATAGGCCTTTTGTTTACATAGAAAAAGTCTTAGATCTTTGAGTTCAGCTCATGAAAAATGGGGGCAAAAACAAAAGTGTTGCGTTTATAATTTTGTTCAGTCTATAAATATATATACATATATATATACTGTATTTATATTAGCTATATAAAACTAGTTGTATTTTCTAATTAGTCATATTTTTAGAATTGTTTCAAAGGAAGTTCAGATAATCTTTTCTCAAAGGCCAAAAAGTTATTTTTGTCATGTAAAAACATGAGTATTGCTGGTTTCAGAAAACAATGGAAACCATCGCATGGACAAGAAGAGGCTCCCAGACCTCTGAGTGGCTGAACGCACAAGTTTCCATTAGTACTGCAGATGTTGATCGAGTAAGAGTTGCCCCTTGAAATGTTGTCTAAATCTCAATCCACAATTATACATATTTACCAACAAGTAGAGTATGATTATCACCAGGTGAAGTTCTCAGTGATCAGAGCAGCAGGAGGCAGCAGCTTCATAGCCATCGATGACCTCAGAGTGACTGCAGGAGCCTGTGTGGAGCACAGTGAGTCAAAGCGTTCAAAGCATCTTATCCAAATATCAGACATTCTCAGCCATGAAAGCCCTCCTGTGTGATATCTCTCCCAAAGACCCGTGTGGATTCGAGTCTCCCTCGCTTTGTGGCTTTGAGTCAGATGTGACTGACAGCTCTATCTGGCTCCGTGTGGATGGCAGCAGTGGCCATGCAGACCATACATACAGAACTGAACTTGGTGAGTAAACAACTGTTTTTGTTGTGAAAGGTTTTTAGTCATGTAATAACCCATGCGATGTATTTATGTCACATAATAGGCCATTCAATGGCTGTGCTTGGAGCCAAACTTGAGAAACCAGAGGTCTCAAATCTTCTGACACCAGAGTATAGCCCATCTACAGAGTCCTGCGTGCAGTTCTGGTAAGCAAATAATCTTGTATCTGTCCATTATGGTACAGATTTGTAGTTAAGCTCTGTCTCAGCCTTAACAGTCTGTTATAGATGTTTTGCCTGTTTGTAGGTATTGGCTGTCTGCAGGCTCAGGTGATTCTCTGTCAGTACATGTTCTTCTGAATGGGGAGCTGGGTCCAGCTCTCTGGTCTCTTTCTGGAGCATCTTCTGATATTTGGGAGGTGGCAGAAGTCACTGTGTCATCTCCCTCTGAATTCAGAGTGAGTTTTTTTTTCATTTTCTAATATGTATTTGCTTGTAAAATAAAAATGTTGTCATTATTTACTCATCCTCATATTGTCATCAAACTTGTATGACTGTTTTCTGGGAAAAACACACACACTCACACAGAGAGAGAGAGAGAGAGACATTTAGATTTTGAAGCTGTACAATAGCTTTGAGTGAAAGTGTTCAAAATTTAAAGGGATAGTTCCACCAGAAATGAAAATTCTGTGATCTCTCATTACTCACTAAGGTCATTATAAACCCATATGATTTTTTTTTAATTCGGTGGAACATAAAAGAAGATATTCTGAAGAATGTTGGTGAACAAACAGTTTTGGTTCCCTTTGACTTCCATTGTATGAAAAAAATAGAGTGGAAGCAGAGATTATCTTAATATAGGGAGATGAGAGGGTCTGTATTACTTACTATTGGAGAAAGCCTAACAGCTAACTTGGATAATGTGTGCCGTAATAACCAATCACATTACAGCCTTGACGTCATTGAATTTCAGAGTTGTGCGACACTCAATCACCGTTTACGGATACCATAGGAATGAATGGGAAGTGCTGTAAACCAGTCGCAAAAAGTCAGTGACTTCTCTTATAAAACAGCATTTTTTTCATAGTAAACTCTAAAAATAGTTTAATCCAAAAGTATTGTTTAGTGTAAAACATGTTGAAGATTAGCAGATAGGCTGACGATTCATTAAATGATAAGCCGTTTCCTCTAAAAAGCTGTTTGTTCATCGTGGTGAAGCCTCTCCTCCATTGACATCCATTAAAACAAAATGGCCTCTGTCTCCTTTCCCACGTACTGCCAGACCGGAAGCGTTAGCTTTAGCCATTACGCTTTTTCAGCTAATGGTTGCAGGCTTGCCTTCTAGTGGCTTTGGTGGAAGTCAATAGGAACCAAAACTGTTCCACAGAAGAAAGTAAGTCATATGGTTTGGAATTACATGAATGTGAGTAAATCATGATAGAACCTCAATTTGGATGGACCATCTCTTTAAGTTGCTTTTCACTGATCATTTTGATATCCACCCTAGCCAAGTAGCAATTTGTGAATTAATCATTGAATTGGACTGTTTCGATAAAACTGGTTTAAATTATTTGTTTTTCTTCTGTTCTTATTTTTGCTTGAGTTATTTCTGGGTCGTAAAGAGTCATAATATTTTTCTTTACCTGATTCAGTCTCGCCTTTCTTTGCTTTTTTTCAGAGTAACAAACTAAATTGCCTAACACATGCAGTTTCAGCATTTTAATATCCTCACTTATGGAAAGAAGTATACACTATGGTATGTGTTGTTTTCTGCATTTATTCATGATTTGCATTCACACACAGGTTGCATTCAGAGCAGAGCTCAGCACAAACTCTGAGTCATTTGTTCTTCTGGATGATGTCTCAGTTAAAGCTGGAGCATGTTCCTCAAGAGGAAGTTGTGATTTTGAGTCAGGAAAGTGTACATGGGTGAATGTTGCTAATGGCGTCACAGATGGACATGACTGGATTCATGCAGACGGTCACTACAGAGGTCCTTTGGTCGATTACACTACTCACACTGCAGATGGTGAGTACTTGGTGCAGTTTACTCCTTTATCTATTGTGTTTGTTGATATTGCAAACATTTTTCACAAGTCAAATGATATATCAGGACAGCTGATTAGACACAACACATGATGATCATTATTTTTCCTGTTGCTCTTTCAGGCAAGTTTCTTTTGAGCCCATCTCAGAGGAACACGCAAGGCCAAAAAAGTAGTTCTGTGCTGATCTCAGAAAAGATCCAGCCAACCAGTGACTCCTGTTTTGAGTTCTGGTACCATATGAATGGAAGGTCTGCTCTTGCTTTCCCATCTTTTTGCTTCAGCTAAAGACAACCTCTCTTCCACTGTTGGACTGTCAGGTGTGATTAATGCAGTTTTTATGGTGCTCTTTTCTATTGGCAGTGACCCTGGAACACTTAGAGTGCTATTAGATTCAGGTGCAACAGAGCAAGAACTGTTGTTTGAAACACAGATCACTGGGAGCAACTGGAAAAATGTCTCTGTCACTATAGCTGAGACCAAACCCTTTAAGGTGTGAAATACCAATCTATTATTTGGACAGCTTTTACCATTATATTATATTCATTTGTAATCATGCCATGTAACATTTGTAAACCTTGAATATCAGATTTATATAGAGGCTCAAACGGGCAGTGAAGGCTACATCGCTGTGGATGACATTAGACTGACAAATGAGCCATGTAAAGGTAAACTGCTCAGTGCTTTCTACTCAGTAAAAAAAAGAGTAGTTTTGTATTATTAAAGCATTATTTCATAAATGGTAAATGTTTTTTTATTGATTTACATTCAGACATCAGTGTGGAAAGTGGAGTGTTTGTTGGCTGTGACTTCGAGACAGGCACCTGTGAATGGAAAGATATCAGTGTTGGGCAGTTTGTTTGGGAAAGGGACCAGAATGGTACAACCACCGCCAACACTGGACCATCAGTGGACCACACTACTGGCACAGAGCTGGGTAAAATATTTCAGACAACAGCTATACCTGAATAAATCTATTACTTTTTTCATGTACCATTCAAGAATTTTGGTGTAGGTGAGTTTTTTTTTATATGTACAGTATATTTTTGAAAAACATCTCTTATGTTCACCAAAGCTGCATTTACTTGATCAAAAAATACAGTCAAAGTACTGTAAATTCAAAGTACTGTAACTGTTTTCTATTGAAATATATATATATATATATATTTTTTTTTTTTTTCCTGTGATGTCAAAGTTGCATATTCTGCATCATTACTCCAGTCTTCAGTGTCAAACGAACCTTTAGAAATCATTCTAATATGCTGATTTGGTGCTCAAGAAACATTTATTATTATTATCGAAGTTGAAAACAGTTTTGCCGCTTGATATTTTTCTGGAAACCATGATAAATTTTTTTCCAGGATTCTTTAACACAATGGTTCTCAAACGTTTTTATGTATATATCATCATCATCATCATCATCATCATCAAAAAAAAAAAAAGTAAATGAAAAGAAAATATTTTAGTAATTTTAATATTGTCAATTGAAAATGCTAATTATATTCTGGTTCGAAATAGCATTGAATCAAGACATTAATGAGTCAATGATATTGAATCACGACAGCAACAAACTGAACTAAATAAATTAAATTACAATGAAAACCCTTATTAGTACAGTTTAATAAAAACTCTATATATGCACATATGGCTTCATTGGAGCATTTTAGACCATATGACATGCCACACTGGGTTTAGGGACTGCATAATGACGTAAAGAATTGCTCAATCGTTTTCTTTGTAACCAGATCTTTGAAACAAACTGATTCGAGGGACTAAGTCAGAATTCCCCTAATATATAATGTAAAACAGAATGTTATCAGTCATATAATTAAAAAAACATGTATTTGTTTTAGGCTGGTACATGACAGTAGAAGCCAGTCGTGGTGAGCAGAACAGCTATGCTGCTCTACAGAGTCCCGCCATGAAAGAGGCCAGCAATGAGTGTCTACTTGAATTCTACTACCACATGTTTGGAGAGGGTAAGACTAGATGTCTTTAAGTGCAACATTGAGACTTTACAGTATTTCTGGTAATACTAAAATATTTTATCTGCATTATCTCATCTTTGCCAGGCATTGGGGAACTGAAAGTGTTCCTCCAGGAGGGCACAAGGAGGACGCCCTTGTGGTGGATGTCTGGTAATCATGGAGATGAGTGGCATTTGGCAGAGTTGAATGTGGGTCGCACACATCAAGTTTTCACTCTCCTCTTCGAGGCTACCAGAACCTACAGTGAGCTTGGTGACATTGCTATAGATGACATCTCCTTCTTCAACTGCACTCTGCCAGGCAGGTTACAAACACATCAACTTAATCTGACTGATAAATCAGATTTAAAGCAGTCAGATTACTGTAACCTTAACCAAGGCATGTAATGGCCCAAGACATTAGTCAATCATACATTATTTCTTCTTCAGGGCCTCAAGAATCTTGTCAAGAGGGAATGTTTACATGTTCGAACAAGGTGTGTGTGGAGCCGAACAGAGTGTGTGACTACAGCGATGACTGTGGTGATGGCGCAGATGAAGAGCTCTGTGGTATGACTCTGGTTTATTCATGGGTTAGGATAAAATATTACATAGTAATACAGTTACATAGTATGAGGAACTGTACTGTATCTTGGTTTTTGTCGGTCTAGATGTAAAGGGTTTTACCCATCGCTGCAGTTTCGAGCATGGCATGTGCTCGTGGGAAAAGAGTGACTTGAAAGCTGGCTGGATTTTGCAGAAAGGAGAACAGGCCTGGCCTAAGCATGGACCACCAAGAGATCACACCCGCAATACTGCAGCAGGTAGACTTATACCTCCTCAAATTTAAGCACAAACACTACTGTTCAAAAGTTTGTGGTCAGTAAGATTTTTTTTTTTTTGAAGAAATTAATCATTTTATTTAGCAAGGGCACATTAAATTGATCAAAAGTGGCAATAAAGAAATGTATAATGTTACAAAAGTTTTCTGTTTCAAATAATGCACTTTCTGTTAATCGAAGAATCCTGAAAAAAAATCAAAAATATTCATCAGCACAACTGTTTTTAACATTGATCATAATAATAATAAATGTTTCTTGACCACCAAATCAGCATATTAGAATGAAGGATCATGTGACACTGAAGACTGGAGTAATGGCCAAACTTAGTGTAAATGATCCAAAAATATGGTAAACATCAAGTCACTTATAAAAGTGACAAAAGATACCCATAGAGAATATAAACATTGTATTTTTTTATTGTTTTATAGCGATATATAAAATGGTTCATGTACCACTGATATTATTGTCCTCTTATACTGAAATGGCTATGGCATGTTCCAGGTCATTACATTACTCCAGCACATGATCTGAGTGAGATCCAGACAGCAGAGATCATCTCCAGCACCCTGCTGCCCAGCACTGATTGCACCGTGAGTCACTGTGCAGTCATGTGTCAATCAAATAATGAAACACACAGCCTCTTTCATATGTACTGATGCACCTTGTTCTTGCAGGTGAGGTTCTACCACTATTCTCGTGGTGAAAATAGCACATCTGCCAGGCTAGTCGTCATATTGAGGACGCTTCATAATGGAGATAATGACCGTATTCTTTGGGACAAGACTGTGACACAGAGCTTCCTCTGGCACAGAGCGGAAGTCACCTTTTCTACCTCAGTTAAGAGCAAGGTAAGATATTTTTACAGTATATGAGTTGTTTACATCATTTCATTTATTAAATAGGCTACTGTAATCATGCAAGATAAATAAATCTGACTCAATTTTATTTTCAGATTGTTTTCCAGTATGTGGGAATGGGTGAGGCTCATGTGCCACAGACAGCGGTGGACGATCTTTCCTTCTCTGTGACATGTGCTCATGATCCTGACAACAGTGAGCTGCCAGTCACACCTGAGCCAACAATGACACCAGCTACAGCAACACCAATGACTGATGCTCCTCCAGCTTCACCAACAGTCAACCCTTGTAAGGTTAGGACATTTCAGCTGTAACTCTACTGTATTGAATACACTGACTTGTGTACAAAGATGAAGTGTAAATATGTGCCAGTCATTTTTGCTGCTTCTTTCATTTTTGATAAAAGCATTGTGAAATTTGTGTCATTTTGCTAATACATTTGGTTGGTCAAATTCAGGAGAATGAGTTTCATTGCTGGCGATCAGATGGTGTAACGTGCATTGCAGCTGGTTCTCAGTGTAATTATGTCCTAGACTGCCCTGTAGGGGAAGATGAAGAAACATGCGGTGAGTTATTCATTTATTCATTCATTCATAGGACGAATAAATGTGACCATGGACCACAAAACCAGTCATAAGGGTAAATTTTTTGAAATTGCTAAGCTATAAGCTTTCCATTGATGTATGATTTGTTAGGATAAGACAATATATGGCCGAGATACAACTATTTGAAAATCTGGAATCTGAGGGTGCAAAAAAATCTAAATATTGAGAAAATCGCCTTTAAAGTTGTCCAAATGAAGTCCTTAGCAATGCATATTACTAATCAAAAATTACGTTTTGATATATTTACGGCAGGAAATTTGCCAAATATCTTAATGGAACATGATCTTTACTTAATATCCTAATGATTTTTGGCATAAAAGATAAAAATGATCATTTTGACCCATACAATGTACTTTTGGCTATTGCTACAAATATACCCGTACTACTTATGAATGGTTTTGTGGTCTAAGGTCACAAATGTAAAAAATTAAATATAATTATCAAAATAAATTTTAATATTCACCTTTTATTTTTAAAAGTATGTATACTATTTATTAGTAGTAGTAGTAGTATGATTGTTGTTGTATCTCTGTAGGTCCATGCAATTTTGAGAATGGACAGTGTCAATGGAGTGATATAAGTGTAGGTCCTAACAAATGGCAATGGGTGAAGGCCTCAAACAACACAGATCTGCCCACTGACCACACCACTGGAACAGGTAATTCAGTGCTAGATCAATCCATGAACATTACATATCAAAATAAATACAGTTCTTCTTCTTTCTTTTTTTACCCTTTATGTCTACTCAGGGCACTACATGCAGACATATATCATGGATCCATCTACGAATGAGGCTGTGTTTCAGAGCCCATCCCTGCCTATCAGCTCTGCATACTGTCAACTTCTGTGAGTTCATTCATAATGATGATGTGCAAAACTAGTGACAAGATCGCTTTTAATTAAGAAAAAGTCAAGTAAAATATTCTTGTGAAACAAACAAATACTTCCATTACACAACACTGAATCATGTTCCTTGTACCCAATTGTCCTCTCTTGTTTATCTCTTGCACACTAGGTTTCACTTCCACATGGGTGCAGGAAGTGCAGGCAATCTCAGTGTGATCCTGCAGAAGGGAGAGGAGGACAAGAAGCAACTCTGGTCACGATCCAGCAGCACTTCAACTCAGTGGGCCCCAGAACACTTACCACTGGGCAAACAAGAGCAGCCTTACAGGGTATGCCAATGTCAATGTGTGTGGGATGCAAAGCACTTACTGTACACATGCAATCATGAGTCTGATCTTTAGAGATTAATCCTTGAGGATCTCTGCCTCCTACACATATTCAGGCAAGTTTTCTGCACGAATATAGACATATTTTTTCCTATGTACCATTTAAGATCATTTTCAGCAGCCAGACCTCACTCAGACAGGATGATTCAAGGTCTACAACTCGGACCATGGCCCTGGATGATATCTCCTTTCACAACTGTGAGAAAGACTACCAACCTCCAGGTGGGGATGCGGTGGGGATGCTGAAAAGTTAGATGAAACAGATTTGAGCTGTATAATGATGTTGCTTCTTTTACATGACACAAGGTTATCGTGTTTTACCTTGCCATGGCATTACTCTAGAAATGAATAGTGAAATATTGTGACTACTTCTGTACCCAAATATTTTAAAGTTTCAGGTCTGTAATTTTTTCAATACTTTCATTTAACAGGAACACATCAAAATGTTACAAAATAATTCAATTTCAAATAAATGCATTTTTTTCTGAATCCTGTAACAAATTAATTGCAGAAATATTAATCAGCACAGCTGTTTTCAACATTGATTAAAAAAATGTTTCTTGAGCACCAAATCAGCAGCTGAAATGCAAATTCAGCTTTGCCAGCACAGGAATAAATTATATTTTAAAATGTATTAAAATAGAAAACAGTACTTTTTAAATTGTAAAAATATTTCACAATATTACGTTTTTTACTGTATTTTTGGTCAAAGAAATGTAGCGTTGGTTAGTTTAAGAAACTTCTTATAACAACATTATACTTCTTATAAAAAAATTACAGACTCCAAAACATTTGAAAGGTACTTTGCATTTGTAAATTTGAAGTTTTGTTCGGAGCGAACCGAGCCCACATTATGAGATTGTGCCTTAATATTCCTGTACTCCAGACTTTTCCTTGGCCACATGCTCCTTTGAGAAGGACTTGTGTGGGTGGATCCAGGGAGCTGCAGAGGACCTAGACTGGGAGAGATGGAGCGGACCTACTGAGACCCCAAATGCAGGTCCTCCGGGCGACCACACTAGTGGAAATGGTGAGCCAACAGCCATTTTCACCATAACACTATAAGCTCAATCATCACATGTCTTAACTATGTGTCTCTTGCTATATTACAGGGTATTATTTGTACATCAAGAGCTCAAGTCACATCAGAACGAGGGATACGGCTCATCTGAAGTCTCCTCTGTCTCCCCCAACTGGACCTGATGGGTATTGCTTCATGTTCTGGTATCACATGTTTGGAGCAACAGTGGGATCACTAACAATGTCTATATATGACATTTCATCCAACCACATCACATCAGTAAGACTCACAAAAATAACATTTTCAGGGCATTTTTATGGGTTTTTCTAATTTCACATGTAAGAAATGTTTTTATAGTAAAATGTAAATGCTTTACTTTTATAGTAAATGTTTTACTATAAAATATGTTTTGTACCAGAATTTTGTATTTGTTTCCCCCCTAAAACTGTAGATGTGGCAAAGGAAGGGTTCTCAGGGGAATGAATGGCATATGGCTCAGAGTCATGTCAAACTGACAGAAGTTCATCAGATATTAATTGAGGCTTCAGTTGGAGGGCCGTCTGGTCACATTGCTATAGATGACTTATCTGTCACTAAAGGTGCCTGTGCTCCCACAGGTAATTAATAACATAGCTTAGCATTTGGTCTGTTGTTTTTCACACTGTCCTGTTGAAATGTCCTCCATGCTTGCTAGAGCACCACAAGAATTTGGCACAGCTGTAACTATGTAGTATTTATCCATCTAGATGCCATTTTCAGTATCAAACTTTAACTGTCAGCTTAGTGAAAAATTTAGAGCATTTGATTAATATTAAAAGCACCTTGATTAAATATACCATGCAAAAATGTGAGCCTGGAGATGGGTAATTGGATTAACGGAATCTTGACCATAACATTTTGTTGCATTCTTTTTAAATATTCCACTTATGAAAATCCTTTATATAACTAGGTTTGAGAAGTAGTGAAATAAAAATATATTTTGAACATTTACAGTTGACATAAATTTGATTAAAATACATGACATATTGGCACCATATTGGTTATCAGCTGATTTTAGAGTTTAAAAAAAAAACAGTAACAGTCAAAATTGAATATTTAATCATGCATGCAAATTTCTCCAATTTGTATAATTTAGATGATCTTTGCCATCATTTAATGATTACTTGAAGTTAATGTTTAAAAACACTAATAGTTTATCTCAAAATTAAATATAATTTTTCTTATATTTGACATTATAATCTTGTGATTCCTAAATTCACTTGTTGAATTTAAACAGTTGATTTTAGTTTTTATTTAAATAAATAAATAAATATTGTATTGGACAGAACTTTAATATCAGCACATCCTTACATTTTTATAAATGAATGTTTATGAATATTACCAACCCATAATTGTTTCAGAGGGAATTTGTGACTTTGAAGAGGGGGATTGTGGCTGGATACAGCAGACTGATGATGACCTGGACTGGATCCGAGTGTCAGGAAATAATGTCCGCTCTAAATCTAGACCTGGTTTTGATCATACAACCAACACAGCGAGTGGATACTACTTTTATATGGAAAGTGCGCCTACCCATGTGCAAGGACATACTGCTAGAATGACATCTCCTCTGCTTCAAACAGGTGAAAGAGAATCACGTCTCTTCATATCAACTGTGAAATTTGTAAACTATACCTTGAGGGTCAGAAGACTCCCATCAAAAGTAACACTCCTCTTTTCCAGCTGATGCCAAGTGTCTCCAGCTGTGGTATTACATGGAGGGAAAGGGCACTGGGACCCTAAATGTGTATCAACAGTTCTCAGACAAAGATCGGCCCCTGCTGGTGACCCAGTCTGGACAACAGGGGGGACTGTGGAGGTTTGCTCAGACTCCTCTAACCATCTCAGGGTCAAACTACAGGGTGAGTCCCTGAATCAGCGCTCTGTCTGATCACAATGTCCAGCACATATTTTCAGACTTACAATCACAGATTATTGCAAATGATGGCCTCAAAGTTATATGCAGTTGCTGTCACTGGTTTGTACAGCAGTCACGGATCACATGCTGCACAAATCTGTTCATTAAACTACAGTCTGTACCCTTTAATTTAATGATGTGAAACTGCAGGAGTGTCCTCATCAATACCGCTGTCTTTTCAGATTGTGGTGGAGGGGATTACAGGCCAAACTGAACAGGGAGTCATAGCACTTGATGATGTTCAGGTTTCAAACTATCCCTGCACTGCTACAGGACAGTGTGACTTTGAGGTAAACTTCTGCAGCTGGATGAATCTGTTGGAGGTGGATGATGCTGACTGGCTCAGAGCCCAGGCAGGCACTGAAAATCACACACGGCCCAGTGTGGATCATACCACCAACACTTCCACAGGTGAGCTGAAAGAGTTCACTGAGCTTCCTTAAAATGTTAGAATTGGTTTATGAAGGAAGTATAGATATATCTGATATTGTTTTTTCTTTGAATTGGGAAATAAATTGTGGCACTGTTTACTCCTGGTATTAAAGGGGTCATATGATGCGATTAAAATTTTCCCTTTCTCTTTGGAGTGTTACAAGCTCTTGGTGCATAAAGAAGATCTGTAAAGTTGCAAAGACTAAAGTCTCAAATCCAAAGAAATATTCTTTATAAAAGTTGAGTCAACCACACCTACCTAAAACGGCTCGTTCTAACACGCCCCCACATATCTACGTCACGATGTGGGAAGATTTGCATAACGCCGCCCAAATGTTCACGCAAAGAAAGAAGGTGTAACTTTTATTCTCGCTGTTGCCGCCGCTGCCATGTTGAGGAGTCGCTGTGTGTTTCGTTGTGAAAGCAAAACTACTTTGTTTGGCCTTCCAAAAGAGGACACGACTAGAAATCAGTGGTTAAGTTGTATTTACAACACTGTTCCAGAACA